GCAACCAATCAAGTAAGTTTATAAAATTATATAGAATAAATTTAATTATCCTACCACATTCCAAAAAGAAATAAAAATGGAAATGTTCTTTCAAACCGAAAGACTTCAGAGTGATGTGGTCTAAAGTTAATGACATTAATAATACTACAGCTTGACAACCTACTCAGAGAAATTAGGCACTTTTCTAATATAGTTGATCTCATTCAGATTGGCTTTGTTAATTATTGTATCATTGTACATCATAAAGCTATGACACTAAAACAGTACACTGGTGTAAAATGAGCCAGATGTGTGGCAAACTTATTAAAGGAATCTTAGTCAGTAATCTTTAAAACAGATGTCACCTTCCCACACTCAAACTAACATTTTAAGTGCTCTATGTTAGACACACACACAGAAACAGCAAGTGGTCCTTTCCCACATCCTGAAATTCCATTTGATTTGAATTTCAAGTGAAGTGGCCAAAATGTTGTGCAATTATTACAGAATGCCCTGGAATGTAATTTAAATGGAAGTAAATTATGTTTGTGTTTATAGTTTGCATTATGGAATGCTCAATGTTGGCGTGTGTCTCAGGCTTTGCGTAATCTCTAATGTTGGTCTCCATTCCAGCAGCAATCCAGTGGCAGTGACCTCCACTACTAAATACTACCAGACAGGTCTTCAACAGACCCTCTTGTACACACAGATGGCTTTATGATCAGTAGGTCTACTGGCCCATGTAATACTTGGTGGGCACGAATGGCATCTTGCTGACCACTGCTGGCACTACTTTCTTCCTCACTTCCACCTGGATTGATGTGCCCACTTTACTGAAGCCAGCTTCCACGTAGCCCATGGCAACATTTTGTTTGAGGCAGGGGGAGGGGCATCCACTGGTGACCTCACCTAAAATAATGTGGGCGGGAAAGAAAACCATACAGGTTCAGAATGACATGACAGTGAATAAATGATGATGATTTTAAACCATTCCTTTAAACATGCGTTTGTTACCTATAACCCTGCCGTCAGATGACAGGATTGGTGTGTGCTGTCTGACAGGTGGTCCAGTGGAGATCAGTCCCACTCTCTTTCTCTGAGTTTTTGCCTTTATTTGTGGAACAATGATGTCAGCACCGGGAAAATCTCGTGCCTGTCGACGGCGCTTACCTTAACACACACACAAATACATTAGCATTAAATAAACATGCATGGGATATGATAATAAAAGTCTTGACGCACCTATAGTCCAAACAAGACTTGCTTCCACAGGTGTGGTGGTCTCATCAATGTCGTTGCCATAGAGACAAAGTCCCGCCTCCAGCCTGAGACTGTCTCTGGCACCGAGACCAGCGAGTTTCACCTCAGTATCGGCTAACAACTTTTCAGTCAGTGAGACAACGTCTCCACTTGGTACTGAGATCTGAATAAATTATAAATAAAGAAAATACATAAACAAACTTTACAGACATGCCAAAAAACAAACAATAACCAACCCCCCCCCAAAAAAAGACGAAAGTGTTTAAAACTAGCTAGTTTAGTTAATTTAGTTATTAGATAATAGATGAATCTATCCGACATTTCTAACAGTTCTTACACTGTAAATAAAAATGAGATTTGTGCCTCTAATAATTTCTAATAGTCATGAGACACAAAAGTTTAGAATCTAAGATTTTTAATATTTTTTAAAGAAAGTCTCTTATAATCACCAAGGCTGCATTTATTTGATCAAAATACAGTAAAAACAGTAATATTGTGAACAATTATTACAATTTAAAATAACTGTTTTATATTTATTCCTGTGGTGGCAAAGCTGAATTATTCTAGTCTTCAGTGTCACATGATCCTTCAGAAATCATTCTAATATGCTGATTTGGGGCTCAAGAAACCTTTACTTTTATTATCAATGTTGAAAACAGCTGAGCTGGTTAATATTTTTGTGGAAATATAAACTTTAAACAAACAGCATTCATTTGAAATAGAAATCTTTTGTAACATTATAAATGTCTTTACTGTCACTTTTGACCAGTTGAATGCATCTTTGTTAAATAAAAGTATTAATTTATTTAAAAACCTCAAACTTTTGAACAATAGTAAATAATTTCAGTACAGTTGTCATACAGTCAGATGGAGATCACACCCACCTCAACTCCATCCTCCCCTGTATATCCGCAGCGCGTGACCCTGCAGCCCTGAATGCCAAACACTGGGGTCAAAACACTGGTCATAAAGGTCAGCTTCCTGAGGTCATCACCCACACCTTTCTGCAGAACCTGGGCCATTGATGGGCCTGCATTCAACATGAATAAACATATGAAGAGTTCAGATGCAAAAGCCTCTAAGTACGTCTGACGTTTATCTTTAAAATGAGCATTTCTTTCTGGCTTCTATCTATAGGTTTCTATGTAAGTACTGGTACTTTTGCATTGGAACTCTTCATATAATCAATGCTGAATCAAATGCCCCAAAAACGTACATTATGCATTTAAATAACACGCATACACCAATGTATTCTAAAAATATAAAACAGGAATGTGGGCAGTATTACAATGCAAGAATACCACAGACTCATGACTTACCCTGCAGAGCAATAAGACTTTCTTCCATGAACTCCAAATCTACATCATGACCTGCTGCTTTAAACTCCTGCAGTCTGGCCTACAAACAAACACACATACATCTGAGCAAACACATGTGTAAGCAAATAAATATATACAAATAAAAAGTATAAACAGACGGACTGCATTAAAAAAAATCCGAAAAAAATGGAAATGAAAAATGTTAAGGAATTTTGAAGCCCCCTTTGTGGTGTTTAAGGGGGTTAATATTTTGGCAGGCTATTTGCACGAAGTGTAAAAAACATAGCGATAAAGGCTATTTACACTAAGTGAAAATAGCATATTTTCTTAGCGATAGATGCTATTTACACTAAGCGCAAATAGTGATGGATGCTATTTACACTAAGTGAAAATAGCATATTTTCTTAGCGATAGATGCTATTTACACTAAGCGCAAATAGTGATGGATGCTATTTACACTAAGTGAAAATGGCAGTATTTTTAACAATATGCTATTTACACTAAGTGCAAATAGCGATAGATTCTATTTACACTATGTTAAAATAGCAGGATTTGCTGCCATTTATACTAATTGCAAATAGTGGCAATTATCTGCACCTCAGTATTATAGTACATTATAATGCAATAATATGCAATAATAACATATTGAGTGTAAATTATAATTTTAATTCAAATTATTAAATAGATGCCACCTTATTGGGACAATAAAGCCCTCCCTACACCTACCCGATACCTTATTTTCAACTTTTTAATTATTTCCTTCATTTTTATTGAAAATAAATGTCTTTCCGATGTGATAAGAGATTTGAAAAGGGAGAAAAAAAAATTCGGCAAAAGGCGGGTCGATTGCGCTAAAAAAAAGACTACGTTACACGCTTTACCATCTACGCCACTAGAGCTAACAATTGACAACAGTCTTTTATAATGTTGACCAGCCCTATCACATGTTTGTGGGTGGAGCTAGTGTAAATAGCCTCTGCCAACAAGGCAGATATTTTCACAGTCATTATAGAAAAATATTTGAATGCCCTGATCAACCAATCAGAATCAAGTAAATTAATATGTTTAATGATCATTAACTGTACTGGCCTGCATATGAGCAGAGTCTTTGTCTGCACAGCCAGCATTGGAGACAACATAAAGGTAACCCTGGTCTGTCTTGGTCACTATCAGATCATCCATGATTCCTCCTTTAGCGTTTGTGAAGAGGGAGAGAGTGCCCTAGGGAAAGAAAAAAAAAATTTGGATGGCTAAAAATTGCTTCTTTTTTTTTTTTTGTGCTAAAGTTAACAATTATTAGAACACTCTGTGTGTGTGTGTGTGTGTGTGTGTGTGTGTCTCTTACCTGGTTGTCTTTTAGTTCAACAATGTCTCCAACAATCAGAGACTCTATGAACTTCACTCCGTCTCTACCATAGACTTTAGTCTATGAGGAGAAAACGGCAAATATTCATTAGACACACCTCACACTACGGTCTCAAAATAATGAATAGCCAATATTGTAGGTCAGATGTGGCATTTTAAGTTGATCTTTTACTTAATTTTTAAAACATGTATTGGATCAACACAAACCATATGAATTGGTCTACATACAGTACATTAAATGTCTACACACTGACCTGCAGCATGTGACTGACGTCGAAGATGGAGCAGTGCTGGCGTGTGTGCATGTGTGAGTTAATGTGACTGTCTTTGTACTGCACAGGCATACTCCATCCTGCAAACTCCACCATCTTACCACCCTGAGCCCTGTGGAATTCATATAGCGGGGTCTTCTTGAGCGCCACCTAGACACAGAGAAAAATCAATGCAAATAATACCTGTTGGATAAAGTTAATATTTATACAATACAGTTAATAATATAGTTAATAATAACGATAATTATTATAGTAACACAGTATAGTATAACATTTGTAGTGTGTTATTAAATCAGCTTAAGATACTGTGACCTTTGACCTCAAGAGCTGGATCCTACCTATGAGTCTGCCCACTTTTACCTCACATTAGGCCCCATTAGCTATTTACAGTTTACGAAACCAGTCCAAAGTCAACTAAGCAGTCTAAAACACTATCTGATCCACAGAGTGAGTGTGTGCTTGAGGCTTTATCTTTATTACATTAGATAATTCATCACAAGCTCAACTGGTGTTTAAAAATTCGAGAGAATTCAGTGCCTTGTGACCACTAGTGATTGAGTCTAATTATTTGATCACTGTTATTGACATTATTACACATGTGGTTTTCATAAGATCATATTAATTGAGAGATTACATGGAATATGTCAATAAGCTTTAATTCATTTGTCACACCCACAGGACCATTGAAAATGAACGAACAAAGAAAAAAGATTTGTACAAATAAAAACAAAACAATCTGAGCAGTTGGCTAACCTAAAATATACAACTTCGCTTACAGATTCATATGTTTGAAGTTAAAAATGCTCATAGACATACAATCTGCGCGCCTCGAGCGTTGTCTGCGTTTGATGACGTTACAGGGTGATCCGAATGAACACATTTAGCTAAATGAAGAATATTGTTTAGTTAATGCCTATTTTGTATGTACATTTGTTCACTTATCATTTACTGCCCTCAGCACGAACCGATAAACATCTAAAAATGTATTGTGAATGTCACTTTGGATAAAAGCGTCTGCCAAATGCATAAATGGAAAATCATTTTTACCCAAATATTTGTTCCTCGAAAGTGTTAAAATAATTATTATATTCCTCGCGAAACACATCCCTAATTTTTGTGCTGCGTGTCTAAAGCTATATATATAAAGCTATAAAAATGCACTTTTTTTTATCATTTACTGCCCTCAGTAGTCTGTATGTATAATATGATTTCATATTTCAACAGAAAAGAGCAAAAGAAACACCAATTCTTACAAAGGTGTGTTTACAGGAGACCTTTTAATGTATCTTTCAATACTTGGCCCCAGAGGTGTAGCCATCATTTCAGAAGGGAACAGAAATGTCAAATGTGTTTATTTTAGGTCTAATTGTTAGGTTTTTATTTTTTATTAGGTCTAATTGTTAAGTTTTTATGTATTTTCCTTATCTCTTACTTTTAATTGGCTAAGAAATCAAATACACTGCTGGACAATTACCAATAATTTGTATTCTGTAACATTTTTCCTGTATTTTCCTAATGGCAATTTTATGATTTGTTCATATACTACACTTTTTTCCATTTTCATCACAAAATAAGGTAGAAAATATATTTTATATTTTCTATAGGCTATTGTAATAAATGTCACGTCAGTTAGCACTGCATTATTCAGATACTTTGTTTAGCCTATTACCTGGAGATGACTTGAAAGAAACACATAAACCATATATTATAATCCCCCACGTATTCTACGCCCATGCTTGGGCCCCTATGTTAAATAGCACGACTGAACAAACAAAAAAGCTATATTTTTTTATTCTTTCATATAAAAAACTGAAAACAGCAAAACTCATAATGTGAATCTTTAACTAGTCATTTAATATAACAAGTCTAACCAACCCAATTTAATTTTCATAAACATATAGTAACACTTTGTTCATTTTTCGGAGTGATTCGTCATAAGAGTCATTCATTCGAGAACTACGCTGATCGCACTGTGTGCAGTTTTGATCCGCCTAAAGGAACCGATTCATACGAGTCATTAGTTTGGGAACTACGCTGATCGCACTGTGTGCAGTTTTGATCCGCCTAAAGGAACCGATTCATACGAGTCATTAGTTTGGGAACTACGCTGATCGCACTGTGTGCAGTTTTGATCCGCCTAAAGGAACCGATTCATACGAGTCATTAGTTTGGGAACTACGCTGATCGCACTGTGTGCAATTTTGATCCGCCTAAAGGAACCGATTCATACGAGTCATTAGTTTGGGAACTACGCTGATCGCACTGTGTGCAGTTTTGATCCGCCTAAAGGAACCGATTCATACGAGTCATTAGTTCGGTAATTGATGTAACACATGATCTGAAAAAGAACCTATTCTCGGTTCCCAACGCTAGCTAGCCTACAACACAATTTCGCTTAGTCTTTAAGAAAACGTACTTTTTTATGTTGTAGTTTTGATATTACCCTAAGACAAGTTAAGACATAATGGATATAAGAACACATTCTTACTATTAAGCTACATAAGACATTTTCTTGCAATATCAAAGTTTTAATGCCTGTATTACAATATACACAATGTCAACACGTAACGTTAACTGAATGATTGTTTGGCCCCAAATCTATAAATAACCGTTCTTCTCGTCCATGAGGCAGCAGCTATTTTGGGTCTGGGGATTTTGAGCTGTATTTAGGGGTAGAGGTGCCAGGCGGACGAGAAGGACGGTTGCTCTGGCTTTTCTTTAGTGTTTGTCAACAACACAACGACCCACAGACGTTTATTAGCGTTTGATGAAAACACAATCTGAGGGTAAGTCTACACGCGCACAGTTTACCACTAAGAAATATTTTGCAGTTTTGAGTTAATGTGCATGGACCATAGTGGATACATCAAACATGAGCTCATTTGCTACTGATCTTTGTTCAGTCCATTCAGCCAAAATTCATCGGAGACTATTCACATGGGTTCCGTTTTTTTCCTGTTTACTCTCTTAATCTGATACATTATATAAGGGGCTGAATAGAGTTTTTTGTGGTATTGTGAACTGTACCAAAAAACGAATGTCCATGTTTATTCAATATCAAACATGGCACATTTAACATCACTGCTGTTTCCAGACTTAAACTGGTTTCAGTCATGCATCAAAATTGGCTAAATGTTTTAGATAAATATAGCTGTTCAAAAGCAACAGCACTATAGCCTCAAACTTTGGTAAATGCAGCACATTTAACATCAATAAAGCTGTGCTTTAACGGTCAAATGTAATGGCTTTGCCCTTAATTTAACATCCAATCATTAATGAATGGGGATGGGAATAGTTATTCACATATATAGATGTCTTTTGCTTTTGTTAGGAGGAATAGTTCACTCAAACGTATAATACTGCCTTCATTTATTAACACCTCATGCCATCTACCGTAGGACTTTCTTTCTTAATGGAAATGCAAAAGGTGAAAATCTGAAGATTGTTTTCCTGGCTCTGTCCCATGGAATTACAGTGACTGAAATTTCAGTCTGCTTCTCACAGTAAGGTAATCATATGACTTTTTAAAAGATTTGCAATATAGTGCAGAAGCCGTATGGACCACTTTCATGGTGTGTTTTTTTTCTATCCTTTTTGGAAGCTTAAAAGCTCTGGTCTCCATTCGTTGTAATTGCATGGAAAAGTGAGAGCAGTGCAAAATGTATTTTGTGTTCTATGAAAGACAGAGTCGTACATAAAACAACATGAGGGGGAGTAAACATAGATTTTTGAATCTTTGAATCAGGTTTTCATTCTCTCTGTCTGTTTGTTAGTGGTGGGAGTGATCATGAAGTCCACTCCTTCTCCTCCTCCAGCATTTGTTCGTGTCAGCGAGCGAGACCTGACAGAGATTGAGCTCCATTCCGTCGACTCGATCAATGACCTGCATCGCACACACTCTGAACAACACAGCAAAGGTTTTCATCATGTCAGAGAGTGTATGTCTGACTTTAAAATCCTTTAAAAATAATTTCTATACAACTCAAACCCACCTCTCACTGTCAGGTGTTCAGCCACCCCGTCCACCACCTCCTACCTCCAATGGGAATCTTCAGATGCAAGATCAAGGAGTTGTCTATCAAACAGGTCAACCAGTCAGAAGGCCCTGTGTGAGCAGACTGAATGACATATGCACTTCCACCAGGCGGCACTGTTTTTTAGCATGTGCAGCCATTATTGCGTTCCTCCTTACTCTCATTCTTATCTTCAGTTTTTTAGGTGAGAATATCTGTTTGTTAAAGCTGAAATTCTGAAATTAATGTTTTAAGGCTAAACTAAAATAAATGTTTTGGCTTCAATACAAGTCAAGTTCCATTGACCGCTTTTGTACCATAATCTTGATTTAAACACTACAGAGCCACTAAGGGGATATGGTGATCAAAAAAATCAGATGAGAGGAAATGACATTTTAATGCATTTGTGTTCTCATGCAAAAGTATTACGTTCCCAGTTGTTCTCTCGCAAAGTTGCGTTCCCCCAACAGAATTTTAAGTCACAAAACATTTGTGTTCCCTTGCAGAACTGTTGTGCCAAGAAACTTTGCATGCTGTCGCAAAAGTTATCTAAATTGCCATTTTTTGAGTTGGAATACATTACTATGTATTTCTGTGCCTTCCTTTGACTGCAGTTTTTGTTGTCGTTATTGTTTCCACTTTGTGTCATTATCAAGTGGATACTCCACCTTTGTTCTTCTGTTTGTTCAGGATCATTATTCCACTGATGCTGTCAACGGAGCTTTTTGAACATATTGATTCCAGAACATTCATTTAGAGAGCCTGTTGAATTGTTGTTTCATCAAATAACATGAGTTTTCTGTTGCTAACCCTCCAGTCCAGCAGAGCAGTGCTCTCCACACACTTTTGGAGATGGTGAAACCGAAACAGGAAACAGCTGAAGAAATCTCCCAACTCTTACAAGAGCTGCACAAGCTGCACATCAACCTCACAGTGCAGCGACCCTAACAACAAATCATTCGACACAGATCCACAGGAGAAACATTATTGCACTGTGACAACACTGAGAGAAGAGCACCGATTACTTCACATCAATATGTGTGATTCTGTCTTAAAGGCTTCTATTACTTCGGTGGAATCCATAATCTTGCTCAAAAACATTCACTTAGCCTGCTGATTTTTGTGCTGTGTAACTGGACAATAATGTATTAATTAATGGACTTTTCACCAGTATTGTTTTGTACACTTATATGCTTACACACTAGTTGGGAACTTATTATATTAGTTTCACTACAGCAAATGATAATACAAAGAAATATGGGGGAAAAAATACGAATAATCATACTTGTAATTATATTTTAATTCATTATCACTCTAACAAACATTAAATTGTAATGTAAAACAAGCTTGATCAAGGGTGTTTTGAATGAGCAAGAACTTTCACTATGGCGAGCTATTGTAAGTGAT